GCCCTATGAAAATTTGTTTGTGTTCTATCGCTTAAAGCTACAATGATGCTTCGCGTTCAGTATTTAGTTTACTCATTTCTTTTTGTCTTTTCTACTATAGATCTCTCTATAGATACACAGAGAAAGTGTTAGGGAAGAATCGAAGAATTTTCGGCTATTTTACTAGTAAACTTCCCTAGAAACTCAATTATTTTGTCATCAATAACAAATGAAAATCGCCGAAAGATGAACTTAAAATGAATAAATCTTTAGATAAACAAGATGTGGGTACAGAGGTAGGATACATATCATCGCATGGTATGAGAATTGTACAGAACAGACCGTCAGTGAAAGAGAGTGTTTGATTGTGTACTGGGAAACTTTTGTTTCGGTCGATCAACGGTATTTCATGTCCAAAAAGTAATTGGATTAGTAGAGCTGGTGATGGAAAACTTTGTAACAGACGAAAATAGGGTCCATTATTCAGAATTTCAATATTGTAAGTTTTCTCTCTAGATAGACCAAGAAAGTCAGAAAAGCGTCCGGTAAAGCGGAAAGCGACTTTGTGTCATTCAAGCAGTTGTTCAAAAATTTAGCTTTTGTGTGTTGTTTTTTACGATTTGATGAAAAATAAACAAGATATATCATATATACATCGTGCTCTATTCGAGAATGTGGTGCACTTTTTATGTTGAAAAATTCACACGTAGGGAAATACATAAACTTCGAGTGCTCCGAAACTAGTCGATTTTTCTCAGAAATCTATAATATTTTTCATGCTAGTTCATGGAAATGTGCTTTATGTAGGGATAAATAGCTCCTATTTATGTGAAATCTATTCCTTTATTGTTGAATATATATGAAAAGACGAGACATAAACCACCGTACAAAACACCAAAGAACTATTTTCGTCTGTTACGACGATCTCTTTTGGCTCTATGAAAGACTGATAGCATATTTTCAAGAAACCAATTACACATTACACAACTAATTACATTTTTTGATAGCCCAAGAATTTCTCTAGACTTTTTATGTGAATAATAACCTTGACGCATCTCTATTTTCAGAGTAAAAAAGAGTTTTTCTGTCTACATAATCGTCTAAGCTTTGTCTGAATGAAAATCTGAAACTCATTGACACCGAAAAAGAAAAATTCAGACCAAAATTCATCTAAGCTATGCTACTATATAAAGTGACGATGTAGACTCGACTGTTCATATTAATACTAATAATAATAAACGTCAGTACTTGTTCAAAAAAAAATCCGTGTGAAGATGATGTCTGTATTATTGTTATTCACATTACTAATACATCTACTGGTTCCGGTACTCTGTCAATGTAAGTAGAAATCGCAGTGCACAGAGAAGACTTTATTAATAGATTTCTAAGGAAAACGTTTAAGCTCTGTTATGTAAATTGTAGTTTAACGACTTTATTCTTAAGTTTGTGTTTCTATGTGCTTAGATTCGTGTACGGATACACCGGGCTGGACAACCAGTGGAAATCCTGCATTAGGAGAAGATTGTTCAAGTTATGTCCGGTTACTGTGGTGCAAAGATGGAGAAGTTCTTGATAAAAGCACAGTTGGAGATCAATACAAGAATCCAGAAATTAATTGTTGTGCTTGTGGAAAAGCAGGAGACACAAGTGATAGTCCAAGTTAGTAATATTTTAGGTTTGTGTTTTGATTGAGAGTCGTGTTGAATTAAACATGAGCTAATGATAGAGAAATTTCATTCTGCAGAAATTTGGTCTAGCACATGTTTGACTAGTTTTCGTATTTTCTTAGACTAACGAGGGAAGACCCCCGACTGTCAAATTGCTTTTGACGTAAAACTTAGTGGATAATGAGTAAACGAGCATGCTGATTTCGAATATGACGATGGTTTTTGCCACCGCGTCTTTGGAGATCCCGGTTATTGAAAAATTGGGTTTTCGCAATGAAAAACGTTTTTAATCAAAAATTTTTTTGATCCGTACAAATGAAAGCGCATGCTCTAAAATCTACGCAAAACTATTTTTTAAGGTTTTTTGGAACAGTTTTTAAAGGGTTAACACTTAATACTACAGCGGAAAAACAGCTTTTTATTACGCTACGC